CTCCAGTATTAGTGTTCTGACTGAAAAATGTGTAGGCTCTTCTTCGTTTTCCCTTTCTAAAACAAAGTCCACTTTTGCCTTTGGTCTCCCTGACAATCAAATAGCAAAGTGAATTTTTTGAAGCTTCTGTATTGAAAGATACGCTGATTATTTGATATTATTGAGTGTTTTGACAATGAGTATATATGTATTAAAAATATATAATTTAAACGACTGTGTCCGACTCGAACTGAAATTGTAGAATAGAAGGATTGGTCTTAAGTGTCATGAGTGTCGAAGGACATTTTACGAGGCGCTCTGTATTTACAGCTAAGGGATGAGACACGGAATGCATCGGGTTTGCTGATGGCATGCTAGTGATTCGGACATGTTTTAGAAGCTGCAGTCCATTTTTTCCTTTCTAATTTGGGAGTTAAAAAGACAGTGAGATGGCGGCATAATTTCTCTGGACAAATTTAAATCGAATTGTTCCGACAGTTTATCATCATATTTCGAAAGAATCAAAAGTAGATATAAGCCCCTGGATTGGTTTTTTTTTTTTTTTTCAGAATAGAGGCAGCGAAATTTTTGCGTGATAGATTACCAGGTACAAAGGAAATGTGCTTGGAAATCATGCCGGCAATCTTAAGTTATAAAGACACTGAACTGCATTGCGTGGTTGTTGAAATCTGTCGTAAATTATTGGCTCGTGGTAGAAATCCAGAATTGAGAGATTTACTGGAGATATTTCTGCAAGTATGTCTCTTTTTTTTTTAATGATATTGCCAGTTCCTTTATAAATTATAGTTGAAACTTCTCCGTAGTAGTTTTTTCCCTTCTTACCAATTTTTTGTTGGCAAATAATGGCATTAGATTTTAGCACCCAACTTGAAGTTTTATCGTACTTTTTGTGCGCTATAGCGCTGCAAGAGTCAGCAAAAACGCATATTGTGACGACTCAAAGTGTGGGTGCATGTATGCGTGCGTGTGTGCTTGTGTTTGTTGTGTCTGTATGTTTGTGTGTGTGTGTGTGTGTGTGTGTGTGTATTCGTATTTTACGGCGTATTTTCAACTCGATAGCTCGAAAAGCTAGGAAGCCGAAATTTCTGAGGGATGTGTTCATCCCGTGCGCTATGCTCCAGTTTTAATACTGTCGACCAGTTGCGCTTGGATCTCAAGTACGGAGGCGGAGAAGGAAACATGTAGTTTTTTTGACGGGGAAACAATTTCATGAGCTAGATATGATAGAAAGCTGAAATTTTACAGGGGTCTGATGTACGGAGGTGGGGAGAGGGGGTGTAGTTATTAGAATAAAAAAATTTTTTTTGTCTCAATAATTAGAATTATATGAGTGTCGAAAGCGAGTCAATTGTGTTGTTTTTGGCCGAGCTTCTTGAAAAGAACAAATATTGCCGACTGCCTGCACTATTGTTTTGAAAGTCTGCAATCGGATTTAAAATGGCAACTGTGCTTTAATGGCAAATTGCCGTGACACAACCAGACTTTTTAAGGGCAAAAAAAAAGATTCTTACAAGGAGCTGCGCAACATATTGCATGGCAAAAATGACTTGTCAGAAGCGGCGAATGTTGAGAAGAAGCCGGAAACTGATCTGGAGAAACAGGACGATGAGATTGGCAGGGAATGAATGTTAAGAATCTTGACTGGTGGTGTTGCTTTTGTATAAATATGTACAGTGAAATTGCTTGTTTTTGAACAGACTGGGCCGACTGAGACGCTTTTTGAGGATTTTCTAACAAAAATATGAAATATCAAAAAAAAATTACCGTTAGCGGGCATGGTACAGCGAAAAGTATTTCTCCTCATAGCTCGAGAATGGAAGATTTGGAATTTTTGGCGAGGCTCATCAGCCAATCTTTCTATGGTTTTCTTCATTTGTCTCAATGAAACGTTTACTGCCCATGCCAGAGAATCGAGCCCTTCATTATCTGACTTATATAAGCAAATCTAGAAAGAGGGGCTGTTAACATACTGCTGGCAGTTAGTTACTGTACGTGTGT